TGAATATCTCCCTTTCTAACGAGCCTACTGGCATCTTCGTACTACCTCCGAGTCGCCTGCTATGAGTTGTAGAAATTGAAAAAAAAGTGAATAGAATTTACCAAAAAAGTAGATTTTCGTTAATAACTCGAAAAGTAATAAAGCTTTCCAACGTGTGGTCGATGATGTAATTATCTTAAGGGGTTGTCGAGAAATACACCAAAAACTGAAAAAAATGCGTCTTTTCGATGCTTTTTTAATTTCAACAGCTGATAGCAGGCGACTCGCACGAAGTACGAAGATGCCAGTAGGCTCGTTGGAAAGGTGAGATATTCAGCTTTCCAACGAGTGGTCGATGATGGTATTATCTTAATGGGTTAATTTGATTATGCAATAAAATCTTAAAAAAGTTTATTACTTTTCGAGTTATTAACGAAAATCTACTTTTTTGGTAAATTCTATTCACTTTTCGTTTCCAATTTCTACAACTCATAGCAGGCGACTCGGAGGTAGTACGTAGATGCCAGTAGGCTCGTTACAAAGGCGAGATATTCAGCTTTCCAACGAGTGGTCGATGATGTAATTATCTTAAGGGGTTGTCGAGAAATACACCAAAAACTGAAAGAAATGCGTCTTTTCGATGCTTTTTTAATTTCAACAGCTGATAGCAGGCGACTCGGAGGAAGTACGAAGATGCCAGTAGGCTCGTTAGAAAGGCGAGATATTCAGCTTTCCAACGAGTGGTCAACGATGTAATTATCTTAAAGGGTTGTCGAGAAATTCACAGGCTTTGCGATCAAGAAATCCGTTAAAATCTGAAAACACAGCATTTACAAAAAAAAAATGGATTGATTAAAATTAGGAAGGAATTAGAATTAGAAAATCAAAATTCTGGGATACTAAAATTATGTAATCAAATTTACCACACATTTATTTTTCAAACAATGTTTAATCTATATAAGCAACCATATCTGATGATGATAATAATAATTATAATAATAGTAATAATCTTCCACTTCTTTTCTACAATAGAATAATAATATTTTGTTTAAGTCGAAGCAATATAATATTATATATATATATATTTATACTTTTTATATTAAATTTCTTTATATATTAAATCTATGTATTTATATATTTATATATATATTTTATATTTATAATATAATAGATATAACTTTCTTTATAAACTTTTTAGAATGTTTCAACACTGTGGCAGAGAAAGATTACAAATCGTTACAAAAAATATATGTATATATGCAAGACTAAACGATAATACAAATAGTTCATATAGTATAGAAAGAAAAATGACAAGAGTGGTGCGAACGAAGAATGAAGAACCGAAGACGCGAACAGAAACAATAAAAGAAATGGAAACGAGTTAAGAGTCCTCAAAATTCGTAAATTACGGCTAGCGAAACCAACACTAGATTACACAAAGTCCTCTGTTCACTTATACATCCCTATGATAAATCTAATCAATTAGTTTAGGTTCTCTTCGACAAAAAGTAACATGAAAACGAACATAACGTTGTTTTTTCTTCTTGTAACATTTGAAATAATGATTAAAAAAAAAAAAGCGGAAGCCTTGTTAACAGAAGGAAACAAATTGGACCAAAAAAATAAAATGTAATGTAATTAAAAGATAATAAATTGAAGTTACTGCGGATGACGTTCTTCGGCCATGAACTTCATGAAGGAGTCGTCCAGGTCCATTTTGATTTGGTTCACGCCGCCCGGCGACGTCTGCGTCATCGTCCTTACTGTCCTCGTAATCCTGCAGACAACAACGCAAAAAAAACGTTAATATAACTACATCAAACACAGAACGCGACCTACAACAAGATGATTTATTTTCTTTTCAGTTTAGAACCCCCAACTTACAACACTTATTTCATACCATTCGCAATAAAAAATCTAATTCAATATATAGAGAGAGAGTTAAAGATAAAGAGGAGAGAAATAGAGTACAAGTGGGATGAAAGAGTAAAGAACAATTAAAAAAAAACGGTTTGAGGATCTTACCTAGCACCAGTGATGGGATCGACCTCTTCCACAATGGTCTCCGTGAATTGGGGCTCGTGTTGGTAGAAGTCTTCTAAAAGTTAGCGAGAGCGGAATGGGAGGAAGACAGAGCAAGAGAGAGAGAAAGAAAGAACAAAAAAAAAACGTAAATATTAATAAGTTCAGTAACAAAATTAAAATCTAATGGATAAAAGCTCGTTTCAAATGTATCTTGATTCTTCAAATGACTATTGTTGTTGTTGTTGTTGATGACCAAAAGGTGTCGATATGTGAGATTAATGAAAACAACACATTTTTTTTTTGTTAATTTAAAAGTAAAATTGATAAAACGAGTAGATCTGAATGAGGATTTGTGTTTGTCATGTTAATTCGATTCGATTTTAAGTGTATGTGAGTGAGTAAGATAGACAGAGAGAGATATATAGAAAGATTTAGGGATTTAGAGAGAAAGCAGTTTCGTTCGAAATTTCTTCAAATTTATTTTATATGTTTCGTTTGTAGCGAAAAGCCTAGAAGCCCTGTTAGATTTATATGTGTCGCTGCTTTTACTTTCGGTGTTCTTCAGCAGTCCGAAGCCCTTTTCATTATTATTTGAAAGCCAAACAACCCAAAAAAAACGCATGCAGCAAATTAGTAACCATTCCATTCCATTTTTTTTTGAAAAGTCAAGCAAACAACAGACATCTTCGACATTAAACAACGAGAAGTACACAACGTAAATTTCATATTCTATCATTAGTTTTACCTGAGATTACCATACTAAAGCTATACTAATCTACTCATCGCGATAGTTTCGAGTCTTCATAAAGATATTGATAGACAAAAAAAATGTTCAAGAAAAATCGCCGATGTCTCTCAGATTAAAATGATTATGAGGATTGTTGTGATTTGAAAATGTTTAAGCCGTGTCAGAAACATGGATTATCTAAAAAAAAAGAAATCCTACAATTAAATAGAAAGAGAGAGTGTTGAAGTGCAAAAATGAATATAAAAAACAAATTAAAATAAATCTCTTTGGTTTTACTCTTCGGAATTGAGAAGAGATCATGTCTATAAAATGCCATAGTTCGTTTCGCAAATTAGTAATTGTCGCAAATCACCAAGCATGCAAAACAAGTGTTAACAACAACAACGACGTTTTCGTCTTCGTTGTTGCGTCGTTGTTAATAATAGATGTACGCTGAAAGGTAAATGAGATAATAAATATTGCCCAGCTAGTTCCAAAATAATAAATTAAATAAAATAAAATAAAACAATAATTGTAATATTTGTGATAATAGAAATAGTATGTAGAAGCGCTTCCCAACCGTTATTACATGATGGATATACAACCAAACACACTGTTCAACAGATATATTCTTCCGACCAAATGGCACCCCGCATCATAAATAATAAATAAATACTACAAAAACATAATCAAAACAAATGTTTTACACTACCAATTATCAAAAAATAAATAATAATAATGTGGCAACAAATAACATGTACATGAATTTAGTATTATCAAACTGTATGGCATACTTCCCCACAAATAAAAGATCATAACGATTATCAACAATTCTGGACGATTCAATGATGTATCATCATTTCATTAATTAAATAGGAAAGTCATCGAATCGTCCGATCATCGTTTCATCATTTAACAGGAGGTTTATTCCTCCGGTTAAGTAACTAGCGAAACGTTGATAACATCATCATCATCGTATGTACAGCAAACAACTTGGGGGAGCTTAAAGTTTTTTTCTAAATAACGATCTTTATAGAAACGAAGCAAACAAAATGCACAGAAACGAACGTAACTTTAAACTGGAACAAGTTATGTTTTTTGTACAACCATCACACACCATCTCGTGACCACTCACACCCTCTGGTACACAATAAACGTGAACTTAAAAAAAAATGTTTCCGTGATTCCTCTTATTTTTTGCATAGATCCAACAGTCGTTCTAAAACTCAATTTCTTTAGACGAAACGTGTTTTGATCTTACAATTCCATTGATTTTGTATTTAATGAAGAAGAAAAAACACAATTTCTTCTAAAGAAATAATAGATTTGTAATGTGTAATGTGTTTTGTGTTCTTTTAGTGTGATGAAACGAGTGAAGATAGAAAAATATAAATATAATATTCGTAGATACAAACGTGTGTCGTGTGTGTTTAAGTACGGGGTAGGTTGTGGATTCTGTTGTTTTTATTGTTGTTGTTGTTGTTGTTTTGTTTTTAAAGGGGGTGGGTGTGTTGATAAAGGCGCCCAGTTTGCATACCATTTGTATTTTGTTCGTTTGCGTTTGGTCGCTTTAGCTATTGTGCTAGTAGTGCCATCACGATCATGCTTATTGCCAAAACGAGAACAGACGCTATTCGGATAAGTACATGCCATCTATCTAGTTGGGATGCTGACAACAGCATGTTCAGTTAGAATCCAAAAATAAAATGAAAAAAAAAAAATATAAAAATAATTAATAATAAGTAAAACAAAAAATAAACAATAGTATAAGACTTGTATAGATAACAAGAGTATATATAGAGAGATAGAGAGAGAGAGGAAGAGCATAATCATCTTTATGTACAGTGAATCTAGAGTGCTACAGCAAACAACGGCCATTCCGATTCGCGAATCGTCAGAAACTATTTGGGCAATTTTTAATTAACGCTTTCATTAGGGTTATTATATTATCTATTGTATTACAAATTGTAATATGATAACCCTGTGGGGAAATAATAGAATTAAAAAAAGTTGGTTAATTAAAAATTGTTTGGTGAGTAAATGCTAAAAAAATCAATTAAAAAAAAAAAGAACGTGCACAAAAGAAAAGGATCAAGTCTAGTGATCGTTGAAGTTTGCTACTGTTTTAGAGCGGAGAAATATAAAAATAAAGAGAGAAGATTAGTTTGATAAAAGATAGGTGTGCTCGCGTGTACAATCTTCGAGTGACTAAAAAAAAACTTTGCATGCAATCTAACTAATCTAAGTATAGTAATTTGGTGCGGAGTAGTCTCTAAGTTATGTTATCTATCTGGGGGTTATATAGTTATATTATTATAAGTATTAATATAATTGCTATGAATGATTATGGTTATAGTTATTACCTGATTCGCTATCGCTAAGTTCTGCGCCGGCCTCGTGCAAGGCAACGTCCGAGCCGCTAGAACTGCCTACGGTTCGAAAGCTAGTCTTCTTTAAGATGCCTTTAAGAGGCGGACTACGTCTACTGTCCGTGTCCGAATCGGAATCTAGGGTGCTACTTTTAGAGGCCCGCGAATCCGGCGATACGAGACCGCCGGCGGATTCGGGCGTCGTCACGATCCTCGTCGTCTCCGTCATCAGAACGGGAATCTTGCTGCGAGCGGACACCTCCACCTCCGGAGAGGAAGAGGACGAGACCGTTCTTATCCTCGTCACCGTCGTCTTAACGATCGGTTGCTCCTGTTTCTGCTGCTGCTGCTGCTGCGAATCTTCATCGTCGTCCCAATTCAGGGACAGTTTCGTGAACCTCTCCTTCAGCGGATCTTTCGAATGCTTCTTGATCGTCTTCACTTTTGATTTCAACGGTATTTTACTTCGTTCCGCCTCCTCCAGCAGGAGATCCAAATCTTTCTCGTCCTCCGTCTTGTTGTTGTTGGTCCGTTTCGGGACGGGAATGTTGCTCTTGTGCTGAGGCGATTCGAAGCTAACGGTTTTTGCGGTTTCGCGAATCTCGAAACCCACGTCATCGGACACTATGGGACTGGAGGCTTCGTCCTCCAAGAACTTGAAGGCTTCCTCGCTTTTGATTTGCGCCGAGAGGATCGGATCGTTGTGACCGTTTTGGATATCGTTGACGACTCCTTCGGCAATTTTGATCACCTCCGACACTTCGTTCTCGGCTGCGACGTGCACCTCCTCCTTATTCGGACTGCGAATAGTTATTTCTTCCGTTGGAACTTCGGGTAAAACGATTTCCTTCGTTAGAACATCGACTATCTCGGCTTTATGCTGGTTCGTCACTTCCGTTTCGGGCAGTGCGCAGTTAATTTCCTCTTCCAAAAAGGAACTGGATTCGATTTTAGGGTCCACGACAACAGTTTCCGTACTGAAAGCAACGATTTTATTCTTCTGCTTTCTCGCTTTCTTCTTTGCCGATTTACTAAGAGGTTTCACCTCTTTAGGTTCTACATCTACAACTTTAATTTCTGCTTTCACCTCAGGTTCTTTTGTTTCTTTAGATTCTACAACAACCTTAGATTCAACCACTTTAGTTTCTACCTTAATTTCAGGCTCAATCACTTTAGTTTCTACAACAATTTCAGGTTCAACAACTGCAGTTTCTATTTCAACTACATTATTATTTTCAACGATAACCTCGGGTTCGATAACTTTCGTTTCTACTTCAATCTCTGTTTCAGCGAATTTAGCTTCGATGACGCGATCAGGTTCGATTACGTTAATTTGAACCAAAGGCTCCACCATCTTAGGTTCTTCGACATTCTCAACCGTGCGCATCGTGCAAGCATTCACTTGGACAATTTCCGATTCAATGTAGGCGTCGTTGAAGGTTTCAGGATCATCCCTAGAGTCCAGCCGTTTGATTGAACCAAGATCAATGGCCATAGCTACGTGATCGTCCTTTCTACTTGGTATAATGATGTCCTCCTGCGGTAAGAAGTCATTGCGTTCCTGGTGCAGGAATGTAAGCGTGTCGCTGACGTTCTTTTTGAGAAGCTCGATGCTGTCTCCACCAATAAAGCCTTGCGTTTCGGGAGGAGAGAAATGTACAATGATAATATATAATATACAAAGAAATATCAACGAGATATATATATAATATATGCAGGACACCTCCACCGCCATAAAGATAAAGAGAAAATAATAAAAATAAATAATAACAAAGAAAAACCAAAATAATCAAAATAATAAAAGGGTGCACACTCTCAAAAAAAAAAAAGAAAACAATAAGACTATGTATATACACACGGCAAACATACACACGTTTAGGATGGAAAAATCAGTCGGTAATATTGTAATGTAATGATTACATGTTCATTATTTTTTTGGGTATACTTATATGTGTATATATAAAAATAAAATAAAATAAAAAGCGAGAGTACCAAGAGATGTGTAATATGAGTAAGAAGGGCATGATCGATGAGGATGGTTAGTGTATCTGTAATGGCTTACGTTATTTACTGCAAAATAAAATAAACACGGCAAAAAAAAGACTCCCAGACGGCGTGGATCAACGGTCGGACTTACCTAGAGCAGCAGCGAGCGGTTCCTTCGGTAAATTGAATTCCGCTGGACTCGGTGGCGGAGTGTTCGCATTGTGATCAGCTTTCAACGCGCCACCGTCCATGTTGTGATGCAATTTCTGCGTGATCTCTTCGATTGCCGCCGCCTCCAATATCTCGCTCTCCGTTAAATCCTTCTCAGTGGAATTGTCCAAGTTCTCGTCCATCTTCTCGCTGGTATCCAAATCGTCGGGGAACATTCTCAAGCTGACGTCGCGCCTCAAAGACGTATCTCTGCTAGGTCCCAACTCGTCCTTCAACGCCTCGAAGCCGGATTGATCCAAACGCACTTTGGCCAACGCCTGCTCCATGTCGTCCGTGACCAGTTCAACGTTGCAGATGCACTTCTGCACGATATCGGAACGACCGATAGCATTCAAAGCCCTCTCCAGGTTGTTTCCAGTCGCGTTCTTCGGCTGATTCCTCAGCCACAAACGCAACATGACCATCGCCTGTCTCGGATAATTGTCCGAATATTCATCGTGAATCAATTGGATGTCGGAATCCACAACACCCAATTCACGGGCTAACCTATCCCAATCGCTGTCCAATAAATTGGAGATATCCGTCAAGCGGAAATCGGCGCGATGAATGGTATCAACTGGACCTAAAACCAAATCATTATTAACTCATATAAATTAGACTTCACAAAACTTACTGATTTTATGGATCAAATAACTGTGATCCTTGTCGATGGAGAGTAAATCGGACTGTGAATCTCTATCCGGCAGTATTTCTTTTGGTAGTGGCAGATTCAAGGTGCAAAGTGGAATCTGATTGGGTTCGCCGCGCGCCACTTTCGGATCGTTCATGAACACAATTCTACCTTCAGGTTCTTCGTCCTGCATAAATCGAAACGTAAATATAATTCGAATTGATTCCTTTAATATTGAACTTGCTGCTGACCTGATCTTTGATGCGCATAGTGAACGCAATCCTGTTTTCGCGGAATGCCTTAAAGTTCAACTTGGGTTGATCACCGGATTGCAGGACGGGCACCAGATTTCCTGCGAATTCCATGTACACATCCTTCCCTTCCATCACTTCAATGTCCCTGCTCTTGGCGATCTCCACGAAGTGCTCCTGCTGCTCCAACGTCTTATCCTCTTTGTCGTCGGTCATGCAGAAGACGCGCACTCTGGCTTCCAAATTGCTCACCCTCTTCACGAAAACCACGAATTTCGCCATGAATGGAACGTGGGCCGCCTACAAAAAAAAAATAATAATATAACATACATTTTTCAAGTCTTCATAGTTTAATCGTTACGTACTTGCGTGTAAAGCTCTGTAGCCATTTTTGCAGATTCGGAAACGTTTCTGCAATCCATCAGCCAAAACCTTGCGGATACAGTCGTTGTAAAGGAGACGCATTCCTTGACGAACGAAAGAGGGGTCGATCCTGTGACATCCTCCCAGACGGCCTTATTTTGTCCACCTAGGAGAAGATTAGATAAGCGCACGTTCTTGAGACAGTCCGGATTTGCGATTGTAGTGATATATCAGAATAATAGAGTCCGCATGCAAGTAGTTATTTAAATGGACAAACGAAAGAAAGAAAGAAAAAAAACTAAAATTAAGAAAATTAACGTATCTAATTAACAAAGTGAAATAATAGATAATAATGTAGTGGAACTAAATTTTACCTGATTTAGTTCCTACGAAGCATGTATTCCAACATAAACAATTTGCACCAAGTAACATACATACATTTATACGAGAAAGAGAGAGAGAGAGATAATTAATGTTTCGGAGAGTAAAGGATTTCGTTGTCGTCGTCCACGCGGGGAATCAAAATACAAAGAGAAATAAATGATAGAAGAAAGAAAGGTACTTTCTTGAAAAAACAAGATGATTTGTGTGATAGTCGGCATGCCAATTATTATACACGGTTTCTTAAGTTTGAACCGACTGACCTGTGATGGAGCAGAGTAATCTCAGAGTTGGAGCGGATCCGCTGTACTGGTTGATCATTCCTTGCGAATGAGCTCTCGGCGCCGGAAGGCTCAACGTGATGGCTTTATGGAACTTGCGACGACGCGGTTCCACAGTGACGATCGGTGAAACGGCGACGGCATGGCCCAATAGCTTCGAAACGAGCTCCGGTTCTAATGCTTGAGCCTGAAAGAAATGCAAGAAAATTAATAAATGCAAGCTTTAAATTGAATGTTAAATTGAGAGCAGACCTGAAGACCGACGCGAATCTTCTTGGTTAGAGCGTTTGCTGGGAAGACTGCTTGAACGAGTGGTACAGCTGAACTGGAGACGGTACCACCATCCGGTCCAATGGCGTGGACTTCTTGTCGCACCCTGGAAACAACCGCAAAGTAATGCGGGAAATCGTTCGTCAAGATCCTCGTAATCCTATTTGTGTGCAAATCGTCGATTTTGCTCAATTCTGAAAAACGAAAGAAAATAGAATTAGTTTTCTTTGTGAAAAATAAAAAAAGCAAACTAAATGTTCAATACCTTCTCCTTCGAAACTGTGCTGAAGGACATCCTGAATCGCCTCCTCGTTCGCTTCCAAAGTGTGCTCCTTCCACGTTTCCCCATTGTCCGATCTCAAGACTATTATTTCGCGTTGCTTCACTCGCAGAGAGGCAAAGTGCGGCACTTCGATGATGACCGGTCTAAGAAGCAAACGCACCTTCAAACAACTTCTTTACATCCCCTCGACATTCGATACTTACCCTAAGAACTTAGCTGCAACCGGCGCCAACTCCAAGACTCTGCTTGCCAAAGCCTCGCCCTCCATCAGAGGCGGCGGATGAGGCATCCTCTTCGGCCTGACGTACCTGCAGGTAATCCTCGTCGGACTAGCCGCACACCTGGGCGGAACGATGACCCTGACACCCGAGTGTCTGCATCCACGCATCGCACCTCCCCTGGCATCCACCAGGAAAGACACCAGAAAACTTGGGAACAGAAAAACACCAATCAGAAAACCATCTCTGAACCGTCACCAAAACCAGATATTAGAGTATTAGATTTGTATTACTTGTGATTTGTATTAGCGTGATATATTCTGGTTGTAGTGTGTAGTAAACGTGTACTTGTGTAAAGTAAAAAAAAAATAATATATTTATACAATTATAGGACGCTGATCTCATCCCCGAAAAGAACTCAATCAGCGATCCAAAAATTAATAAAAAAATTGCAAAACAAAAGTAAATTAAATTTTTAGTATCTGATATCGACGATATATATAATACAAAACTCCAAAAGTGCATGAAATAAAAAACAAAGCTAAATAAATCAAACGTATTTACACAACAACAACAATAAAATAAACCTATATCGTCGTTTCATTTTTTTTTTCTTCTCTTTAAATTATTACATAAAACAATAACAAAAACCAAAAACTAATACATTGAAAATAAAATATAAATGTTTTAATATTTATTTATTTTTTTTTGTATATTGTTTCATAGTAGTGATAACTTACTTCCTCCAACTTGAGACTCTGTCGGTGACCCCACACGACAACACAAAAATCCCCCGAGTTTTGTGAAGCGTTTCGTGTAATATTTATAAATATTTATATATATATTTTTTTTTTGTTTTTGTTTGGTACAAATATTGGGGGAGGAGAGGAGGTCAACAGAGTCAAGAGAAAAAAGAAAGAAAGAAAAAACACAGTCAAAATGTAGTTAGTCCAAAGAAAAAAACATTAAAAAAAAACTGTTAACAAACAGTAGTAGTAGTAGTATGATGCACGATAATAATAATAATAAAATAAAAACCTCAAAACTACACTAGCAAAAGTTCAAATTTGATTAGAGATTAAATGGAAACTTCTTGCAGATTCTCAAATGCGAATGGTGGTTACATTTTTTTTGCAAACTATGCTTTTGCCTGGTTAGTAAACGACGTACGATCGCGTTCGACGTTAATTTATGAAATCGTTTTTCGCGTTGCGCAATCATAATTAGAAAGTGCTATTAGGAAATTAAAACTATAATTCCGCAATTTTCCTTGGAACAGTTATTATGCGCGTTTGTTGGAAAATTGTTGCGGAGCGATTTCATAAAGTAACGAGAAGCGTTTCTTCTTCGGGTTAGTCTATAAACAATTCGGTGCAGGTATCTAAATCTCTTTTAGGGGGTGTGTTTTGTATATACAGAAAAACGAAAAAGTCAAATATTAGAAGAGTGCATTAAAGATATATAAAAAAAAATTGGATAAATACTGTTTTTTGCTTGGATTGTAATAGAGAAAAAAAATAGTATAGACTTCGCCTGATTTGCTTATTTGGAAGCGTGTTCGAAGAAGGGGGTTGGTTGGTTCATTGGTTGATTGAAGGAGGGATTTAGAATTGGTACCTTTCTCTGCACAGGCCCATGCCAGGCTTGACGACACCCAGACGACACAATGACCACTCTAGCGCTGACCACTCGTTACTGCATAAGCATCAAAACTAAACTACTCCAGCCGGCAACAACAACATGGATTCTTCGTATTTGTATACGCATTTATATAGTTTATACATTATTAATATTATTGCAATAAGAAAGCCGCATTTATTAAACGAATTAAACGTGGTGCATCATCGAGAGAATACGCTAAAAACCCGAGACAAAAGTCGTCCCGAAATTAGCAAATTCCAGAACGAGCACAGTACACGATATTTCGCAGATTATTGCAAATCTCTTAATAAAGTCCTGTTTAATCGAAATAAAACAATAAGAACTAAGTTAAAGCTTTCGAGACTATTTCGAGTCCGGTAAATGATTAACTAAAGCCCACCATGAAAGATAAATTGAATTCAACATTTTTTTTTATGTTGTTGTTGTTAAGAAACTTACCCGCATGTTATTGGTTGTCTGTTGATGTCGACGTTGTCCGGAGCTGTGTACGTGTACGGGGTTGTGTTCGCCGCATAATATTCCTTGATGTGCGCTGGACTTATGATATATTCGCTGGTATGTGAAGGAGCTACAAACAATAACATTAGTAATTCATTCCTGCACAAAGAAGCTTAAATCTGAAATCTTGAGTAAAGCAATTAGTTTACAATTTGTAAACTACAACCTTTACGTTCATAATATAAGATTATTTCGAACGATAGCGCGTTTTACATTCGCGAACTCGAGAATCTTATCATTGTTATTTATAGCGTTTCACATAATAATTCATTACTGAATTACCCAAGTCCGGTTATACAATTGAATCCAATGTGGTTCGGTCGTCCTAGATTCGATTCTACAAATTCGTGTTGCAACGATCGTCATCAATATTTCTTTTCTCATTTAGCCATGCAAATAATTAGATTTAATTCAATTCTGTATTCGATATGATTATTGCTATTTTCAATAGTAAATAAAGTGTATGGCTTTGTTGCTTACCGACAGAATTTCTGTAGTCGCTCTTCTCGTCGTTCGTAACATCGAGTCGCATAGAATCGTCTCCGAAGGACTTCATGTCGTCGACGGTCATGTACTTGTACTGCTGCTGGTCGCTGATGAGGTCGTCCCCTAAACAACGCACACCAAAAACACCGAATTAGCCAAGGAAACGCAACATTTCTAGAAAGAAAGTCCTTAATTCGCAAACAAGAAAGAAAGAAAGGGCGTTGTTTATTATGTGTAAAATGTACGTCGTCTCTGTACCTGCCAGGCCTCACTCGATACGCGTGTTTTGATATATGATAATGAGTAAACACAGAAACACTGGCTCGAAGATAAGATAATAGCTAAATAGACCATCGATACAATTACATAAAAAAAAAGAATGATGCTCGCCGAATTGCGCGAAACTCGAAACGAAATCGATTTGTCTATATCCCGCGATCGATAAGTATGGACAGAGATTAGTGAAGCCAGATAAAAGCGAAAAGTTATTTTCTGAGATGGAGCTGCTGCTATTCATAATATTACAATTGGAAGGGAATGCGAATTGGCAAATTATGTAACCGCGTGAATGAAACATGTACAATTCCTTCATCTTCGATATCGAGTTATATAATTTTTACGTTAAACTGTAGCAGAGAACGAACCTGAAGAAGTGTAGAGGCTAGTTGGGAAAATGCAACGACCCGAGCGGATTTATTTTGTTATTGAAAGCGGAAATTAAAGCTTAATGGACGATGCTACTGGTAGAGAGACCAGTTCACTTGATACTACGTCTGTAAATCGAGCACGGAATCATCATCTCTCGTTTAACGATGATAATTGGAGGTCGCTTCAGCACTCGGCGTTCAGGTATTGTTAGTCGAATGAACGAGAGCGTCTTCTGATGAATTGATATTGTTGATGTTCTGGATATTGTTATGATGTTGTTTGTGTATGACCACTTACGTGTGTAGTTCATGTTCCCTTGGTAGTAAGGCAGATAAACGTGCTGGGCATGCGTAGGTCTCCCATAAGCCACCTGGGGCTCATCCACACCGCCTGATGCATGCAACAATCAACCACCACCTGCTTTTAAATCGCTCTCAAAAACACCCCCAAACCCAATATATATACACACAAGAAAAAGAAAAACAATTATTTTGCTTTTCTTTTCCTTAATTTTCGGTACTTGACATGCTCGGCAATTTGATTAATATTTTTATATTAATATCACGCGGAAAGCACCATACAAAAAAAATGTAATTAATATAAATCGTTTTGTTAATAAAAATCCAAAAATAAATAAATAAAACCCACAAAGTTATAGATAAAAGAAACAACGATGAACTTACCGCCTTCATCCTCGGAGTCGGACATGAACGTTTCCTGCATCGCTTCCGGAGCAACCACTTTGTACTTCTCTTCGATATTCACTGTAGTCGTTGTCGTCACGTCGACTTCCGTGACTACTTTAAGCTCTTCTACGACGCTGATGTAGCCCAATTTGTTGGCAATTCCCAAAGCCGTTTGTCCGTTCTATAATTTACAACAAACAAAACAAAAAAAATGGGATTGTAACGTTAATTATCGTGATTGAAGAATTATTTTGAAACACGTACGTTGGTGACGGCGTTCGGATCGGCCCTGTGCTTCAGGAGAAGATTGATGACGAGGACGTGGCCCTGCTGGGCAGCCTGATGAAGTGGCGTGTATCCCGATGTAGTTGTGGGATTCACTTCAGCTCCTTGCTCGATGAGCACTCTCACGATGTTAACGTGTCCGTGATGGCAAGCCACGTGGAGTGGAGTGTAATCCTGCTTGGTCCTTGCATCTTTAACGGCGCCGGCTCTCAATAGCTGTTTGGCCACGGACACTCGGTCCTCTTGAGCGCACAAGTGCAAAGGTGTTAAGCCGTTCTAAAATTATAGTTATAATATAACATAACTGGTAATAGCAACAACTTAAAACAAAATTGCTTACTTTAGAAGCGTGATTTGGATTTGCTTGATGTTCCAGCAACAGGGAAGACATGTCGGAATGACCTTCTTGTGCACTTAAATGTAGCGGGGTGAAGCCGGCCTTTGATTCGGCATCGGCGTGTGCACCATACTCCAACAATGTGGTTGCTATATCCATCTAGAAGGACCACCAAAGTTTAGGAAGAGATTTTTGCAATGAAGTGTACGAACGAGAGGAGGTGTCACCACACAAAGTGCTCTTTTACCTGATTCTTGCGGGCGGCAATGTGCAGCGGAGTATGTCCGTTCTTGGCGACGGCGTGCGGAGAAGCACCCTTGTCCAGAAGGAGAAGGGCCACCGGCTGATGGTCGTAGTGTGCGGCCACGTGCAGCGGCGTCACCTTGTTCTTTCCCTGCGCATCTGCTGGTGCGTCCCTCTGCAGGAGGAGACGAGCCACGTTCAGGTGGCCGTACTTGCTGGCCAGATGCAAGGGAGTGAAACCCTTCTTCGTCGTTGCGGTCAAATCGGCGCCGTTATCAAGAAGAACGCTGGCGACCTCTTCCTGTCCTTCCTTGGCAGCAATATGTAGCGGGGTGTAAAGGTCCTTGGTGGTTGCGTGCGGTTGAGCTCCGTGCTGCAGCAGCAGCATAACGATGTCTACGTTACCCAATCTGGAAGCAACGTGAAGAGGTGTCTGCTCTTCGCGAGCTCTTGCATCGACGGCCGCCCCATTCCTCAACAGGATTCTGATTATGTCAGTCTGTAATCATGAAAATACTATTAGGATTTACATTCAACTTTATAAACACAATTTACACGAAGAATAAATTAAATGGAATTGAAATAACGGCATACTCAATTCGTATGAAAGTTGTCTATAGCAATCGAAACTATTTGCATTCTAGGATTACAACAAATTACCGAACGGAATTAAACACTTAAATTTCATTACATTCTCAAGTTATCAGTGGTAATGGATACTGTTAATATCTATTGTACCTGATTTGCTCTGGCTGCTAAATGCAACGGGGTTTCCCCGCGCACAGTTGGGATATCGGGACTGGCCTCTCTCTGCAAAAGGTAGATGACAATGTTCATGCAACCCATGAAGCTGGCGACGTGCAGAGGCGTCAATCCGCTCTCCGTCGTTGCTCCGATGTTAGCTCCGTGCTTCAGCAGAAGCTCAACCATTTTCTGTCTGTTCTTCTTGCAGGCGATGTGAAGCGGCGTGAATCCATTCAAAGCTCTCGCGTTGGGATCCGCTCCACGATCCAGAAGCAACTTGGCCACCCTGATGTGACCGCAATGGGCGGCAACGTGCAAGGCAGTTAGATAATCCACGGTGACTTCATCCACTGGAGCGCCATGGTACAGCAGACTTCGAGCCGCATCCACGTGCTCCCCTTGTGCTGCCATATGCAGGGGCGCCAAACCATTCTAAAAATGTATTAGGTATAAAAATGTGTGCTGTATTGTTAATTTGCAAATCACCTTCGTCTTCGAGTGCATCGGGGCTCCATTCTCCAGAAGCATATCAACAACCTGATCGTGTCCGCTGCGCGCAGCGCAATGCAATGGTGTAAGACCATCCCTTGTCTTCGCCTGGATGTCTGCTCCTTTGGCCACCAACAGTGAAACCATGTTCATCTTGCCCCACTTGCTAGCGACGTGAAGCGGAGTGATGTTATGTTTGGCAGTGTAGTTGATGTCAGCCCCCTTCTCGTACAGAAGGGAAGCCACCTTATCGTTACCATAATGGGCGGCAATATGCAACGGGGTGAATCCACTCTTGGATGTTATATCGGCATTATGTTCGTTCTACAAAAAACAACAACAACAACATAAGTATCAATCACAAAACACCTAATATTAAAGGGTTTACTTGTAGGAGCAGAGCGGCAGCTTTGCAGTCGTCCTTCTTGGCGGCAATATGAAGAGCAGGAAGTCGAACCTTCCCTCTGGTATCATTCTCGAGTAGAACAGCCACCACTTTGTCGTGGCCCTGTTGCATGGCTACAGCAAGTGGCGTGAATCCATCCTACAAAAACATCAAATTACCATTTACGTCTAATCTCGAAAACTTCTTCACTACCTCAGTGGCCAAAGTCTGATTTCCACCTTTGGCTAGAAGATACTTGACAACTCCGTCGTGGTTCTCCTGCGCCGCCATGTACAGAGGCGTGAATCCATTCTGCGATTGAACGTTGATCGAAGCACTGTGTTGAATGAGCAATCTTACTACATCCTCTTGACCAGCTACAAAACAGAAATAAATTTACATTACAAAAATGTACTTAACATAATTAATAAATTATTTACTTGCAATTACAAGCACTCCATATTCATTACAAAAGATACGATAAGAATTTAAACAAGTCGAAGTTGATACAATTACAAAAAAATAATAGTAATTTAAATTTAGTTTTATCCTTTGTTTATTTAGAAAGTTGCTTTCACGTGAAAAGTATTTGATATATTGGATAATCTGAAATATTATGTTTTCATCACTCATTCATTATTTTTTGTGTAGGTTTTAAAGAATCTTTGAGCGCTCATAATGAGCTTAAATCGTGTTGGAAGCTGTTGATTATTAAATGAGAAACACAAAGACTGAGACGTAACGAAATCATAATTAATGAAGACGCGAGGACACAGGCGTATGCTAATGATTAACTCAATAATGCAGCAATTAATAAACAATGTGACATAATCGACTATGAATGAAACGACGACCTTCTAACGATAAAAAAAAAATTAACAGCGAGAATCCCTTGACCTTTCAAATGCGAATCTCCACACCAGAACCAAAAAAACAATTTCAAAGTCTCGCTTTGCTCTCTCTTCTACCCCTTTTTTTTTGTTAACGATCGCACGCATGGATTGCGGTCTATTCACGTCATGGTCTGTTTCGTATGTGCGAGAGGCCGAAAAGTCGCATCGATTTCCGTCCGATTGATCCGACGACTTCAGGCGCAGACAACAACGAAAGAAAAAAGGTAATAGAATACAAAACAAAAAGAGGGCACCGGATTGTCCCAAGAAAGAAAGCAGACCCATTAGAAAGGCAATAAAACCGTGTCATCCATCTCGTGTGAAAAGCACGCAGGAAGGACGACTGAAGCAAGAAAAAAGGGCATAGCGAAAGCGCCAATTAGTTTTCGTTTTTTTTTTTCGGGGACTCTTTGAATAATGCATGATGATTTAAATGCGGGATTATATGAGAAGGCGAAGCGTTTTCCTAGCTGCGTGTGTCATTAAGAGTCGTCTTCCAAGCATAATTTCATAATTGTGGGAAGAAAATTCCTTCTACATTTCGGTGCGCGTGAACCACGCACGAGGAAATAGCTGGAAAAGTTCAGCTAGAAACGTGACCTGCACTAGGTTCACAATAAAAAAAAATAAACAAGTCGTCATTGGAAATGATTGTTGTTGTCTCATTAAATTTAATTTAGAAAATTTAAAAACGGCACGTGCGCCTTTTTTTTTAGCGTCGTCCGAATGCCGTTAATTGATCGGCGTGCGTCTATTCGTTAACTGTAAACCACTCACCGAGGGAAGCAATATGCAAAGCCGTATTTCCTTTCTTGGTGGCCGCATCGACGATGGCGTCGCGCTTCAGCAACTCCTGGACGACCTCCACGTGTCCATCCTTGGCAGCCAAATGCAGCGCATTCAATCCATTCTGCAGAAAAAAAAAAGAAAGAGAAATAAAGAACACTCTGTATAAGCTTCATCTGTTTACGCTCGTGCGTTTCCACAAACAACTTGTAATTGCCTAAAAACTAACGGCAGATGTTTCGAGAAATTCTGGTACAGATATTAAGCGTGCTGGAGATATAATCTAAAGTATAAAAATGCTTGTGCGTGTATACACTTACGGCGTTCGAAGTATTAATATCCCTGACCGTTCCGCTGTCCAAATACTCTTGTATCTTATCCAATTGGCCGGCTCGTGCAGCGCGCAGGAAGGCCGTGTTTGGGTCTTGCTGCAAAAGAAGAAGAAAAACAAAAATTAAACATAGGCCAATCGATATTTGTGACATGCCAAGTCACAATTCCGCGTCGCATTCAATTTTTAGCATCGACGTTATTGATTATTTCAGCTTTAATAACTGAATGAATGCATTAATAATAATCTCCAGTTAAAAATTGAGCCCATAATCATAATTGGTAAGAAAAACTTTGCATTTCTGATGAATTGCGAAGGCGTAAAGTCAATAAACTATAATATATTCACAAATTATTACATCATAAATAAACTAGAAATTCAATGGGTTTTGGCAAACCTTGTGCATTTCAAATTAACCAAATAACTCTGAATAACCTTCAGTTAATTGTTAACTCGAATCTCCAAAAACTAATTCCAAAACTATATGATCATTGAATGACCTAAATGATGTAATGAATCAAGAAAACACAAATTCGAAAATAAACGTGCAATAAAATTCCTGAACTTGTCAAGTCAATGAGTAAATGAAGGAACGAATACATTAAAACAGTTTTTTCGGAGCGAAAACTTGCGACTCAATGTTAAGGTCATTAGATAACACAAACTACTTCTTTTTTCTTTCATATTTATTAGCATTTCGCACATCCTTGACCCTTGACCCACGTACGAGATGAATCTTCTCACATTTTTCGTTACTTACGAGGCTTAAAAAGTCAACAGCAATCATCGAACAGTAAACACATGCAGATAAGTGTAATTTTAAGTTGTTGTTTGCCCACATGACACACATTTCCTTTACTTAACTTTAAATATACACAATTACAACTTACGCAATTACAAAATAATGTCTAAAACATACAAAAAAAAAATATGAATTATTTACAAATTTCTGTTAATCTTGTGATTTGAATTCTGTTCATTCAATAATTTGTATTTATTAAATTAAATTTACAAAATTCAAATAATCATATAGATTTTGTATGCAATGTGTAAAAAAAATATAGCCAACTTGATTATATTTTCAAATTTTGTTTAATATATGTGTCTTAGATTGCTTGATTAAATTTATTTGTTATTTTTGAATGTCATCAATTCTTGTTAGCTTAAGTATGCTAATTTCTTATAGTTGAATATTAATTTGTTCTTCAATAATTATGAATGAAAATAATTGTGACAAATAATACGATTGTAATGATGTTTGTAGCATTAAGGTTTATCATATAGTTTGAATCTGCTGCACATCTAAAACGATTATGTTGGAGAAGTTTTGGTAATTGGTTTTCTCGAAGATGTTGTCGAAAATTATTACGAGCTAAAATTTGGTAGATGATTCGATTACGTGGAAATCGGAGGCCGGCAAAGTTAGTTAGTTGAGAGACGGCAATCGATCTGACCGAAACGGATGAAGTAATCTATTTCCGGAAAGCGAATCCTCTCTTTCCTTCATTACATTTTCGTGCGCGTAAATATATAATATTCATAAGGATTCTTCCGACTCTGAGTCTACATCTGGTCCAGATTACTCACGACCTGAGAATGCTTCTCTCTCTTCAAAGGCGACTCTATCAATTGGAGCAAAGCTCGGAGATGAGGTTCGGTTCGTCGTGGAGCGTGGGTGGATTCTCTCCCATCCGACGTAGCGCGCGATGCCAACGATATATATTAACAACAACGAAAAAAAAAAACCTACTGCTTCTATACTACAGCGTGACCCAGATCCGCGCCTAATAAGAATCGCCTCGCAATTTTTCGCCGTATTCATGATACACCCTCCACGAACGCATTCAATCCAAACCAAATCCCATTGGATTATCGTTCATTCAATACCCAATTTCTTTCACCATTTACTAAACCTACAATAAAAACTATTTCTATTGGTTTAAACCTATTCAAGCAGTGTTTAAGATGAGAGAGAATTCATTTAATTTGAAGTCATTGTCAACCTACTTGGATTATTGTTCATTCATTACCAAATTGCTTTCCTTTTTTTATTTTCAAAGTAAATTGTTAAGTACGACAAAGTGTGTGTGTCTGTCTTTGATTTTCGGGTGCGGAATGTTAGGGCAGTGCCCAAGGCGGCGCGTGTTCCGCAGGAGAGTCGTCCTCCTGCAGGATTCGCATTCATCGATCCCGGCCCTCCTAACCTACTTATTCTCCGAAATGAGAGCATCCCGAACAACCGCACACACAGAAACGCTCTTCTCTTTCTCGAATCCTTCCATCCCCCCCCCACAATGTCAATATAATACGCTTATACGAAACCGCAGGCAAACAAATAAATATTGATTACCATTTCCAAAACCCGTGTACACTCACTCACTCAACCCACCCCAACCTAGCTTACACTAAATTCCATAATGCATATATAAACCTAAAGTTTCAACCTGGGAATTCGCAAATTTCAGCTCGCGAGTGAAAACCGCAAACTAAATACCGAACCTCTGCTCAAATTCACATCGAAAACACTGCATATTCCTGTTACGAACACATTAAACTTTTAGTTTAAACTTCAATTTTCTTGAAATTATGTAATCTATTTCAAAGTAAATTATGTAATATAGCAAAATAAGTATGATTTCCAAAAATATACTCTCGAAGTTTGTGTTTGTTCATTCATTTCAAATTCTAAATGTAATCAATTATAAGACGATTGGTTTCAAGTAGTTTAAGTTGATTTGAAACCAATTAAAACTTGCTTCTTCTCATACGTACATTCAGAAAAATTACAAATCTAATTTTAATAAACTAATAAACTTTTTTTTCCATTGAATTATATAGATATTATCACTTGACTTCAAGTTGAATCCATTAAGTTTGAATATCTAAATTCATAGAACAAATTTGTGAATTATGTTACAAAAATTGTTACTTTTTTAATTAATTCATAGAATATCTTTAAATCTGACGAAAGTGTAAGCGTTTCACAATAATCTGTTTACAAATATATTACATTTTTTTCCAAAAAAAATCCTTCAAATCATTACCGTGAAAGACAGCAAGTGATTCGTTCAATTGGCCAGACACGAACATTGATGTTTTTAAATTTTTGTGACTTTGAAAAGGTATAAAGACACTGCAGAGTGGGCGCCTCAAATGGCCTCTTCCTCTCTACTAAACAACCCAAAAGGAAATTACGTAACCACGGTCATCGAGACCCACGCAAACGAAGAAAAAAAGGCAGCCTGTGTATCTCAGTTATTCCATCGATTACCACCGAAGATTTAAGCTGTTTTATGCGAAATCGAAGCGAATTCCGAACATTCTACACATTTTTATACCCTATTCTTTCTTGTTCTTGTACGTTTTTTTTTATTTCTTTTCTTTTGGAGGAGAGAAAACATCCCTTTCTGTCTATAAATGTTTTAGGGCGCAGTGAAACCTCACCGGAGGAGCATTCGTATTACCTCCGTGGGGAGATCACCAATTACCGTCGCTCGAACCGTTTAATTAAATTGTCGAGGCAATGTGGAGACACCGGCATTAATAAATCGCAATGGGGGAATTTCCATTGCGTGTCGAAATGAGAACAGTAAAGAAAAGTTAAGTAACTTTTACATGTAATAATTTGCGCTTATACAATTTTCTACAAATATAGTAGATTTTCTGCAAAAACTTAAATGATGAATCTTTAAGAACAAGAGGAAAATACTCAGGTTTAATAGACAATTTAACAGAATTATGAGTTGTTTATGACTAAATTTAAGCAATAAATGAAACGCTGGATAATTCTAGACGATTCGAAATGATTCAAATTACTTTCTGAATGTAATTAGATTTAATAATTCCAACGAACTCTATCTAAATAGGTTACAAAACCGTACGTGAAGAATCAAACATATTGTATTTCATTTGCAAAGCATGGAAACTTTCGCTTACGATTGCAAGCCTAGAAACTTCCCACATGTTTTACAATAACAACAACAGCAAAAAAAAACCCAACTAATTAGCGATGTTTCCATAGAATAATAAACACAGAACATATATTTTTTTGTATTCAAAATATTGCTATATTCGATGTGCAAATAGCGACTTTGCGAAACGCACTTGTCGCGTTGATAACACTGCATTATGCAATCAAACCGATTCGATTTTTTTTTTCACTGATAACATCACAACACCCCAATAAATAAAATGACTCACGTCGAGTGCATCATTATGGTTTTTTTTTTCGTTTTTGTGCGTTTCGAGGCCCAATTCGTGATTACGTACGGAGAACGAGAGATAAATGGACGGATAGAAAAGCCTTGACCCAGATTAGCTCACGCCAATTAACATAGCTCGTCGTATTTCGTATTTATTGTTTATTTTCTCGTTCTGTATTTATTTGCTTCGAAGACCTTGCCGGGTAATTAATCAATTAACAGATGGGAGAACAAATCTGCTGTTCTTATTGCATCTTGGAATGGCCACAGTCCAGTAAATTCACATTAAATCTACTCGTTTGTTGCTTCTTTTTCTATGTCATTTTCCCAATTGCGAGACAATCTTTGATCCATTTGAATCGTTCTGCATAACACACCTCTGCAGCCAAATTACGTTGCAATGAAATTGGAAATCCCGTGTAACCTGTGCATTGATTGCGTTCGGACACGGACGCAGACGACGAGTGTAATTCAATGCGGTAAGGCTTCGTTTTTCGCGATTATCGATTGTGTCTGGGGACGCATTGAGAGGGGGATGAGATTTATTTATTTATTTTTTGCCGCCGAACATGCATAAAGTCCATTTGCAATTTCCTTCAATTTTTTTTTTCCGCCGCTTTCGAATGTTACTGCTGCACGATTGTCAAGCAGGCGACGTCGATAATTACTTCTGGAAAACAATGGACTCGAAAATTTTGACTAAGTCCTAAATGAGCATGGAAGAGCGAATGTGTGTGTGTTTGTTTTGCAGTTGTAAAAGGATGTAGACAATGAGTGTAAAAATGTTGCGACCGGCAAGTGGAACCAATTATTCTGGAACAGTCCCTGTGGCTGCTTTGCGATTTACATCATCAACATCAACAACATCGTCAACATCGTCGTTGTTTGATACTGT